CAATCACAAAGGACACATATAATGAAATGACCTGGCCAGGACTGCAAGAGTACTGTAAAACCAGATCCTGTGAATTGATCAAGACTTAATTGGTTTGATCACTGTGTTTTGGCTTGAAATGGTTCCTGTTGGCATGAGCTGGAGCTGTGTTCAGTCACGCCATGAACGCAACACGCCGCAGCCTGCACTCAGCGCTGTCAAAACCGAGCTGTGCCGAGAACATTTTCGAATAAATCGCAGCTGTTTTTTTTTTTAAATTTCACTTGACGCTTTCTAATTATTCATATGTCACAAAAAATATTTCAATAATAACGTTGTGTAGGAGCTTTACCAGAGAGGGAATCAAGTACCAAATGAAAGTTGCACATCAGCAGCTCTTGCATAACTCCTGAACACAATTATTACCTGACTTCTAGGACTGCCGGTAATTAGTATACCTTGTTTTACAGTTCTGTAGCATCTTTCTTTTTTCCATGAAAAGCTCTAATGTTAGTCATGGTTTTCTGACCTGTAGCAAAAACCATTCAGATCTTCTGACCCTTGCAATCATACAGACTGCAGTGTTGTTGATTTTTGGGGATTTTAATATGTAGGCTAAATCTTTTATGATTTGTATATATGGGATATACACTCACCTAAAGGATTATTAGGAACACCTGCTCAATTTCTCATTAATGCAATTATCTAATCAACCAATCACATGGCAGTTGCTTCAATGCATTTAGGGGTGTGGTCCTGGTCAAGACAATCTCCTGAACTCCAAACTGAATGTCAGAATGGGAAAGAAAGGTGATTTAAGCAATTTTGAGCGTGGCATGGTTGTTGGTGCCAGACGGGCCGGTCTGAGTATTTCACAATCTGCTCAGTTACTGGGATTTTCACGCACAACCATTTCTAGGGTTTACAAAGAATGGTGTGAAAAGGGAAAAACATCCAGTATGCGGCAGTCCTGTGGGCGAAAATGCCTTGTTGATGCTAGAGGTCAGAGGAGAATGGGCCGACTGATTCAAGCTGATAGAAGAGCAACTTTGACTGAAATAACCACTCGTTACAACCGAGGTATGCAGCAAAGCATTTGTGAAGCCACAACACGCACAACCTTGAGGCGGATGGGCTACAACAGCAGAAGACCCCACCGGGTACCACTCATCTCCATTACAAATAGGAAAAAGAGGCTACAATTTTTACAAGAGCTCACCAAAATTGGAAAGTTGAAGACTGGAAAAATGTTGCCTGGTCTGAGTCTCGATTTCTGTTGAGACATTCAGATGGTAGAGTCAGAATTTGGCGTAAACAGTATGAGAACATGGATCCATCATGCCTTGTTACCACTGTGCAGGGTGGTGGTGGTGGTGTAATGGTGTGGGGGATGTTTTCCTGGCACACTTTAGGCCCCTTAGTGCCAATTGGGCATCGTTTAAATGCCACAGCCTACCTGAGCATTGTTTCTGACCATGTCCATCCCTTTATGGCCACCATGTACCCCTCCTCTGACGGCTACTTCCAGCAGGATAATGCACCATGTCACAAAGCTCGAATCATTTCAAATTGGTTTCTTGAACATGACAATGAGTTCACTGTACTAAAATGGCCCCCACAGTCACCAGATCTCAACCCAATAGAGCATCTTTGGGATGTGGTGGAAGGGGAGCTTCGTGCCCTGGATGTGCATCCCACAAATCTCCATCAACTGCAAGATGCTATCCTATCAATATGGGCCAACATTTCTAAAGAATGCTTTCAGCACCTTGTTGAATCAATGCCACGTAGAATTAAGGCAGTTCTGAAGGCGAAAGGGGGTCAAACACAGTATTAGTATGGTGTTCCTAATAATCCTTTAGGTGAGTGTATTTTTATGATTGGCTCAGAGGAGGACAGAGATGCTGAAAATAAACTGGAGGTCGAATAAAAAATAAATCCAATATATGTACAGTAGGAAAGATTCAGAGATGGGTCAAGATGGCCAGATAATTCAGCAAGTGAGTATCTTTAGTCGTGCTTCAAAAGGGATCATTTTGAATACACTTTCTTGGAGAGGGTTTTTAGCATGCAACAGTAGCTTTTGGACTATCAGCACTTTAAAACCATTTCTGAGAAGGTGTATATGTAAGTTCACCATTCACACTCCAGATGGATGACTTTGAAATTTGTATTTTTTCATCTTGCGCCATGAACTTTGAAGATGAAACGTTACGTTTAAAGTTCCAAATTGTAGAAAACTAATCTTAAGACGGTGTTCATTAGTTTCCAGTGAGTTGTGCTCCTTACAGCTTTTTTATGAACACGTTGTAGTTCTTTGGTTTAGATCTCACCAAATCAAAAATGCAGTTTTGCACATCTCTAGGAAAATCCTGCAGCCTATGGCTCATCTCTCATTGCATAAGGCAGCTCTGATGAGTTGAGACTGTGGACTGCAGGTGAGGGACGTCTGGGGCCACTTTGGTTCGTCTACATCCTCCATTTAAATGTGTTCTGGTTCCAGTATGATTGAATCCTCTCTGTCTGGCTGCTCGTAATGGACAGACCTGATGATTGGGTTTTTAGCCATAAAAAATTGTGTGGAGGTTTATGTTCTCCTATGTGATGAAACAAATGTGGGACTTTTATTTGTGTAGTTTATCAGGAATTGATTGGATTGTTACCTTGAATTGTTACATACCAACATACTTTATTTTATTTGTTAAATTCACATGCTCAAACAATGACAAAAAATACATATAAAAGTCAAATAATGATAAACTATTGTCTCAGTCTAGTCTGCCTCTGGTTTAAACCTTTTATGAGATTCTCCCTACATAATTCACAGTTTATTCACAGTATAAGAGGAGAACATCACCCCCTGCTGTTAAAAAGACACATCTTCTGGTCCATTCACTGCAGTGGTCATAAATAATAGGGCCGCCCTCGACTAAAGATTTTTGTATTCGACTAGTAGTCGTTCATTTAAGCGATTAGTCAACGAATCGTGCTTTTATATTAATAAGCCATAAATCATATGAGTCTAATTGCCAATATAATACATGGTCTAATCAGCGCTAAAACGCATGCATAAAGCTTGCAACAGCGCAACTGTAAAAGTAATGATTTTTAGTGTGTCGTGAAAAAACAGTGTGTCGAGACTGTTTAATAATTTATATAATTTATTAGGTGTTCAAGCACGAAGTGCTGAAAACCTATTGTAATTGCTATTTGAAAAAAAAAAAAAACCTAAAACGCATCGTGCAGCCCAAACCGTAAGGCCTAGAGACTTGAAACCTGGCCAGGTGCTAGGGCCTCAGTTTGGGGAGAACCTATCAGAGTATGACCCTGATTGGCCCATAGGTGGCGCTACAGCAACCAAAAGTACTAAATTGCCCATAACTCATTGACCGTATGACCTAGAATCAAGATTTGTACACCACTGTGTTCCTTGGCTCAAGACGGACAAGATGTATATCTCGGATTCTCGATTTGAGCAAAAAAAAATTTGTTATGGACAATTTTGTCCAAAACCTACTTTTGCGAACTAGTCTCTGGTTTTTTGCCTGATCGGAACCAGACCGGTCTAGGACAATTCTATGGACTCTCTAGATCAATAATTATCAAAAAAAAGTTGAACTTTGCCCTTTGGTTCACTGTAACAGGGTCATTTAGTAAAGGGGGCGTGTCAAAATACACTCAAAAGCCTATAAATCATAAATAAAAACTCAGAACTTCACAAAAATTGATGAGCACATGTGTCATGACATGGTGAAGAAGCATGCAGAGTTTCATGGAGATCGGACCATAGGTGGCGCTATAACTGTCAAAAAGGTCGCCTATTATTAGGTGTTCAAGCACGAAGTGCTGAAAACCTATTGTAATTGCTATTTGAAAAAAAAAAAAAACCTAAAACGCATCGTGCAGCCCAAACCGTAAGGCCTAGAGACTTGAAACCTGGCCAGGTGCTAGGGCCTCAGTTTGGGGAGAACCTATCAGAGTATGACCCTGATTGGCCCATAGGTGGCGCTACAGCAACCAAAAGTACTAAATTGCCCATAACTCATCGACCGTATGACCTAGAATCAAGATTTGTACACCACTGTGTTCCTTGGCTCAAGACGGACAAGATGTATATCTCGGATTCTCGATTTGAGCAAAAAAAAATTTGTTATAGACAGTTTTGTCCAAAACCTACTTTTGCGAACTAGTCTCTGGTTTTTTGCCTGATCGGAACCAGACCGGTCTAGGACAATTCTATGGACTCTCTAGATCAATAATTATCAAAAAAAAGTTGAACTTTGCCCTTTGGTTCACTGTAACAGGGTCATTTAGAAAAGGGGGCGTGTCAAAATACACTCAAAAGCCTATAAATCATAAATAAAAACTCAGAACTTCACAATAATTGGTGAGCATATGTGACATACCATCATTAACAAGCATGCAAAATTTTATGGAGATCGGACCATAGGTGGCGCTATAACTGTTAAAAAGCTTTAAAAACATATATTTCCTATGGTAAATTGCCTGTTTTGGCTGTAAATGGTCTTTTCCATCTATTATGTCAGTGGTTAAATGTATGCTAAATAAAACTTAATGTCTTTTGATGCTTTAAGTGCTTAACGGCCTTAAGGGCCTTAACTGCTTGAACACCGCTAAATGCTGCTTGCAGCTTTAATTGATAATGTTTTTTGCCTGCAGAGATTAAGTCGACGATGCTGACTCTTCATCTCCGCAGTAGTGGACGTGCCTTATATGCGGATTACATGATCTGAGAATATTTATTTTCCACTTGAATTGGTTCATTTCAAGCTTTCTATAAATATATATGATATTTATAGATTTCTATATTTCTATAAATGATAGGCGAATGTTTGGATTTCCTGGCGTTAATGATCTGTCCTCCACTTTCTATTGAGTTTTTTTTTTTCTGCGACTGATTAATACAATTTTGGTCGACTAACGGAAAGTTGACTATTAGGGGGCAGCCCTAATAGATAATATAATATTAATGTAATATTTGTGTTTGATTCTCTCCGCAGCTCTGTTCTGTAACTGCACTACACCACACTGTGCGAAGGATGATTTTAAGTGCGAGACCAACGGGGCGTGCGTGGCCTCCACCTCTGTCATTAAAGGACAGGAGCAGCACGTGCGGCTCTGCATTGAGAAAGAGAAGCTGGTTCCTCCGGGCCAGCCAATCTACTGCCTCAGCACAGAGGGACTGGTGAACACACACTGTTGCTACTCAGATTACTGCAACAGCATTGACCTCAGAGTACCAACAGGTGAGCGTCAATACATTACAATACAATACAATTTTATTTATAGCACGTTTAAAAACAACTAAGTGCTTTTTATAAGAGCCAAGGAAACCAACAATAATATAGAAAACATAAAAAAGTAAAGCAAAATAAAGAACAATAAAATGGAAAAGCCTATGAACTAAGGTAAAATATAGAAAAATAATGATAATCAAGATATATTGAAAGCAATTGAAAAAAGATACGTTTTCAAGGTGGATTTAAAAATTAACAACGTTTGGGCGGATCTGATGTAAGCCGGTTGGCTATTCCATAACTTAGCACGATCACGACTATTTTCAAGTCTAGTTCTAGGAACCGATAGTAGATCAGAGTCCCCTGATCTGAGTGATCTTTACATCAGCTGTAATCAATGCCAAATTCAACCAGCAAATTCCAGATGTCATCAAAGCAACTAATGCATTGTGTCCTCTGTCAGTGACGAACGAACCGGGTGCAGAACAGGACTGGGGGCCGGTGGAGCTCACGGCAGTGGTGGCGGGTCCGGTCTTTGTGCTGTGTGTGCTGGTTCTGCTGGGTCTCTTCCTCTTCCAGCACCACCAGCGAGCTTACGGCCATCGGCAGAGGCTGGAGGTGGAGGATCCCAGCACTGAACACATGTTCCTGGCCAAGGACAAGACCTTACAGGACCTCATCTATGACCTCTCCACCTCAGGATCTGGGTCAGGTTAGTATCGCATGATTTATTTATGCATGTAGGGCTGGGCGATATGACGAAATATATCGTCTGGACGATAGAAAATGTCTATCGTTTTAAATAAGGCTCTATCGTTTACGCCACGATAAGGCGTTTTACGGCAGAATTTTACGTCAGGATGCACCTCACGCGGCATGCCCATGCACGCTGCAATACATAAACAAACATGGAGGAAGACGGTAGTAGACGCGGTTCAGACCAGGGTAATTCTCAACAAGATGACCAGCCAACCCAAACCGAGGAGCTTGTTCCTAAAAGAGGGGCGACTTCTGTTGCATGGACGTGGTTTGGATAGAAGAAGACCGACGTGGACCAGACAACAGTTGTTTGTAAAGTTTGCCGGCTCCCAGTGCCAACAACGGACTCCAACACTACTAATTTATTTTATCACCTGCGCAAGAACCACGAAAAAGAATACAGAGAGAGTCAACGAGCAATAACTGCAAAAGCAGCGTCGAGTGGTGACGTAAGCGCTCAAAACAAATCCAGACACAGACGCTGCAACAGGCTTTTACTTTTTTCAGTTTGTTACTTTTTTATATCCAATAGGAATAGACAGGCCATTATCAATATTTGTGGTTGCTTTCTATTGCCCCCTCTAGAGAACAAAGAATAGTACTTGGAAACATCTTTACACCTACATGATGCTACAAGAGAAGTCTGGGTGGTGTTACTGTTAAAAGTTGGCTGCTGCTATATGTTGAAATATTTTAATGGCAGCAGGTGTTAACATTACCAACATGTCTTGCTTGAAAAAAAGGTTCTAAATAAAATAAATATTTAGTCCCTACCTTTATTTGTTTTGTATATCATTTCAAACTGCATTTCCACATTGCAATTTTATATTCATGAACTGAATTAACAGAAAAATTGCTATATCGTTATGTATATCGTTATCGGGATATCAAATGAGCTATATCGGGATATGAAATTTTGGCCATATCGCCCAGCCCTATATGCATGTATGCGACAGTGTTATTTGTATTCTATTATAGTTTTGATTAATATTTTGAATTCGATTTTCATTATCTTTTCAGTTTAATTTTCATTGCGTCCCATCTTCTTAGCGACCATCGGAGCCAGCTGATAAATTAAACTTTTGCCGAATCCTGTAGGAAGGACGGCAAACGCATCTTTCCGATCGACAAATGCCTTTTAATATAATCCCTAGTGGAATCTCTACATCTCAGTTCTCCAGCGGCAGTCGTCTCTGAGGGAAACCAGTTCAACCCAAGCGCTCTTTGATAACGTGATGATTACGTAACTGCAGATCATCTGTCCATCATCGTATAAAGCCCGCCCTGGCAATTTGATTGGCCCGACTAATTCTGAACCGATCATAATTACTCCTCAATGGATCGAGTCCAGACCGAACTTCCCGACCAAAAAATGTTGTGGGCTGGGTTCGGGCTGGCATCCTATATAGTATGCGATATCAGATGGAGCACAAATCTTCAAATCATGTGATGCTTTGTGTGAAGAACAGATTAACATACAAGTATGTCACTGATAATCTTCTCCTCCAGCATATTGTGAGTTGTTTTATAAAGTCTCTCTCTCTCTCTGTGCTGCAGGTCTGCCACTGTTTGTCCAGAGGACAGTGGCCCGTACTATAGTGCTGCAGGAGATCATCGGTAAAGGGCGCTTTGGGGAGGTGTGGAGGGGGAGGTGGAGAGGAGGAGACGTCGCGGTGAAGATCTTCTCCTCTCGTGAAGAACGCTCCTGGTTTCGTGAAGCTGAAATCTACCAGACCATCATGCTCCGCCACGAGAATATTCTGGGTTTCATTGCGGCAGACAACAAAGGTAAACTAGTGAATATGCAGTAGGGCTGGGACAATACATCGATGCATCGTGAATCGAGAAATGATTCTGGATCGAAGGAATTTCCGAATGCATTGTGATTCTCTCTCGAATCAATTCTGAGCTTATTTGTTAGCAGCAGATGGCAATGCGTGCTTTAGAAACAGCTGTACTCTGCTTGCTTCCAATGCCTTGCACACACCACTTGAACCCATAAAATAATCATTCATAAAGTTCGAAAAGCGTGTTTGAAGTGGGTTGTTTACATTAATCTCGCGTCATAAAAGCATTCTGAGGTGCAAGTACATTCTCGGACTCAGACGAGCGCTCTTCTTCGTGAGCATTTGAGTGTGCGGTTAAAAACCAGCCTAGAGCGCCATCTGCTGTTAAAAACTAAGCTCAGAATCTATTCGAGAGAGAATGGCGATGCATTCGGGAAATATTGGAATCGATCCATGAGTTGATTTATTGGCCCAGCCCTAATATGCAGTGCATTTTAATACTGTATGATGTTGTCATCTGGGTATAATAATATCTAATTGTCTCTGTCACAGATAATGGCACATGGACTCAGTTGTGGTTGGTGTCAGACTATCATGAGAGTGGATCCCTGTTTGACTATCTGAACCGATATTCAGTCACCATCGAGGGCATGATCAAACTGGCACTGACGGCTGCCAGCGGCCTGGCACATCTGCATATGGAGATATTGGGCACTCAGGGTGAGTGCGTCATATTATTAGATGAAGTTTAAAGAAATCAGCTCCAAGTGAGCTGGCTTGTTATCTCCATAACACTGCCTCTACAACAGATATGCAGACTTTTATTGTATTATAACTTGTTCTTTGTCATGAAAGTAGCCGTGGAAGTTGGCTTTCCGTTAAGTTACAAACAAACGTCAAACATGCAATATGTTGTGAAGCGGTACAGGGCTTGACTTTTTCCCAAAGAAGCTCATGTGCTTCTAAGTGGAAACATTTTGGGGTGCAATTATATTTGATCAAATAATGTGTGTGTGTGTTTATATACATGTTAATATGCGTTTGTAATAATTATACTGTAAAACATATTGTGCCAAACCTAGTAATAGTGCCTGTAATTTTACTAAGTTGATTCCAGAGTCTGACATTAGTATTTGTTAAAATAATGACTTTAATAAGAACGAACAAACATATAGAGAGCACACAAATATTGGGTGCAATAATCAATTTTTATCAGGCCTTTTCAGTACTGAATCAAAATATATTTAAAATCAAAGTTCCCCTTGACTCCATCTGTCGTCTCTGCCACTCTGGAATGGTTACATCATTGAAGGATACTTGCTATGCCAACTTAGGCAGCATTTGTTTTGAGGCCCACTGTCATGATGCCTAAAAATGTTGTGTATGTATTTTTACTCTTACGGGTGTGGAACAGAGATATTGCGATCCCTCTCTGACCAGAGGAAAGTGTTTACCAGATGTGTGAATCTGTAAAGGTTGTGTTTGCTCGGCAGGTAAGCCTGGCATCGCTCACCGTGACCTGAAGTCAAAGAACATCCTGGTAAAGAAAAACTGCACGTGTGCAATCGCTGATCTCGGCCTGGCAGTTCGTCACGAGTCCGTCTCTGACACCATCGATATCGCCCCCAACCAACGCGTCGGCACTAAGAGGTACGCCGTACATCACATGGCAGAACAGCCATGAAAAACATGTTTACAATCACACGTGTTATGCTAATCTAACCCAACACGTCTACTTATACTATCAGTGGTTTGTGGTTTCCACTTTATATACTTTAAAGCCCAAAGAATACTTAGTTTTTTACTAAAGATGCACCGATGTATCAGCCAGTCTCAGCTTTTAAATTCTCACGAAATTCAAACAATAAATGGAGTTTTGAAGCTCTTAAATGTGACGTGACAGATCGCTGTAGTGTACAGTACAACTTACCAAAATCCGTATCACTCAATCTGCGTTTCAACCGTGGAAAGATATCAATAAAATGTTACATTTACCTCTGGAAAGTCATCCAGTGTTCACAGTTCGTTAGTTAGCTATAAATGCGCTAGAGAAGAGCTTATTTACTGTTAATTATATATGCATGTTTGAATAAATTTGTCATGAAGTGTTTATTAAAACTACCTTATGTGTAACTGAGTTGTATACAAACATTTCAGCTTTTATTTGAGTGTAAATATATCTGGAAATAAATAGCAGATGAATATAATAGCCCTGTTGTTAATTTTAACGTCTAAAATTATAGTAATGTACCAAATGAGAAGGTTCCCTGTATAGTTTTTAGCATTATTTGGGAGTTTTTTTTTTAAAACGCTATCAAATGGACTATAGTTTGAAAGGCTACACGTTCGTACGGACCTTTGCAAATATAAAAATATACAGACTTTCACGTGCGCACGAGAAAACGAACTTGTGCGGACGAGATACGTTTATCGTGCGAACGCGAAAGTCCGTATATTTTTATATTTGCAAAGGTCCCTTTAGGGGCTCCGTACGTTCGACTGTACGCATACGTTTAAAAAAAAAAATATTGAAGTATACTTTGGACTTAAGTACCGTAGTCCTACTCATGTTTATGTCTGTTTCAGGTACATGGCACCTGAGGTTCTAGAAGAGAGTATAAACATGCGTCACTTTGACTCGTTTAAATGCGCTGATATCTACGCTTTAGGACTCGTGTACTGGGAGATTGCTCGCCGCTGCAATGCAGGAGGTACTGAAATTCATCAAAACCATTTTTACCACAGGCACATAATTGCACATTGTTTATGCTAGACATTGTTCTTATTAATGCTCCCCTTATGTTTCCCCTCAGGAATTCACGAAGAGTACCAACTGCCCTACTATGACCTGGTGCCCTCCGATCCATCCATAGAAGAAATGAGGAAAGTTGTATGTGACCAGAGGTTGCGACCCAACATACCGAACTGGTGGCAGAGCTATGAGGTGAGAGACATCACAACCCATGCTACTACTAACTACCACACTAGACTCACCTTACAGTGACCCTCACGTGTCATTTTGATGTCAATATCATGATGATTTCCCAATGATCAGTTTTTTCTTCTAAATGTATATATGGTCTTTTATGGACTGAGACGTGATTATGTCTTTGTGGCCTTTTCCACGAGGAAGGTACAAAATAGTGATTTGAAACGGTTATAAGTCCAATGAAATAAGGTGCTTGTTTGTCCACCTCAGAAATAATAAATAAGTAATTATTTTGAGCATTTATATACTCTGAAGAACTGCTTTTGTTTTTTGAAAGAAGTCTCTTCTGCTCACCAAGGCTGCATTTATTTGTTCAAAAATACAGTAAAAATAGTAATTTTGTGAATTACAATTTAAAACAGCTGTTTTCTAGAATATGAATATATGATCAAGTGTAATTTATTCCTGTGATCAATCATTACTCCAGTCTTCAGTGTCACATGATCCTTCAGAAATCACTCTAATATGATGATTTGCTGCTCAAGAAACATTTCTGTTTATTATTAATGTTGAAAACGGTTGTGCTGCTTCATATTTTTTTTGTGAAAACCGTGATACATTTTTAGTATGATTCTTTGACCCTTTGAAAAAAAAACCAATAAACAGGGTTAAATGATTGAGCATAAGCACATATTTGATGATTTTGAAAAATGATCAGACATTTGATGTTTAAAAAGTGCTAGTTGTCATGCTGTGCAATATTACAATAGATAATATATCTATGATATAAGAATGATGTGGGTAAACTCCCTCTCGTATCCCTCCAGGCGCTGCGTGTGATGGGGAAGATCATGCGGGAGTGCTGGTACGCGAACGGCGCTGCGCGACTGACGGCTCTCCGTATCAAGAAAACCCTGTCTCAACTCAGCGTGGACGAAGACATGAAAATCTGAACGCAAACACTACCTTCAGCGCGCGAGAGAGAGAGCGTAACACACCTAGGAAAGACGACGTGTACAGACATGCTACCACTCTAAACTATCCTGCCAGTTTAAGAAGTATTTCCGTCCACTCGGTTGTGACGGGGCCTACCTCACCCCACCGCCAAAACTACTGAACCTACGCTAGCGTCTCTCCCTCTGAAAATACTGACACACATCACCATCATCCACTCTGCCATGTGACTTTTAATGATTTCTGTTCAAATCAATTTCCCCCAAAGATCATTTTCCAAACCCTTTTAACTTCTGGTGCACACAGTCGCTGTGATGCGGGCGTTTTGCTTTCTCTTAGATCAGTTTAGCAGGATACCTTGGTTGACCAGTTTAAGCTCTAAACCAGGTGGAATACACAAACTACAGGTTTAGTAAACCGAGTTCATTTGGTTTAAAGTGAGCTGATGGCACTGCCAGTCATGCGTTTCCTTCTCTTAGCCAGTGTTTCATAACCACGTTAAAGCTGTTAGCAAAACAACCTTATTTGCACTTTATTACGGAGGTTTCATGAGCGTGGATTATAGCCATCTTGATTTTTGGAATCACACACTGGCACACACACACATCTATTCTTACTACTGAACGGTACGTACCGGATGTCTATTTATTTTAGCTTGTAGATCCTTCATATTGTCCTTATTTTTTTATCGCTGTTAGATTTCCTTCTCTCCTCCATGGGCAAATAAAGCTACTGTACATAGTATATTTTTTAAAAGTATGGAAGTGTAAATGGCATACCCTTTTTGTTTTTCATTTCCGAATCCTTCGTCTAAGCTAAAGTGTTGGCATCTTGATCTTGTTTATACGCCTCGAGCGTCGGACAGGGTCATCTGAGATGTGAAGCTGCGCGGGTCACCGGCCTGTGAAACCCAACCAGAACCCAACCTTTTGTTCAAGTTTGTTTTTCATAGCTAAACCTGTGTGTTGCTTCTCACTGTAGCATTAAATGACACTAAAAATGACGAGGACACTGATAACGCACATTTTATTAGTTGAGGAGACTGTTTTGTAAGGAATAGTTCATGCGAACATTATTTATTCTCCCTCATATTGTTCCAAACCCTTTTTTTTTTTCAATGCAACCCAAAAGGAGACAGTGAGCAGAATGTGCACGCTGCTCTTTTCCATGAAAAATCCAAACACTACAAGTCCTCTGAATTTATTTGGACTACATCTATGATGCTTTTTAGTCTTTTTTTTGAGCTTGACACTCCCAGAATCCTTTCACTTTCACTGTAAAGAAACGCACTGCATGAGCATCCCTCCGTTTTCCTTCCGACCGCGATGGAAGAAAGGTTTAGAACAACGTGAGGGTGAATAAATAATGGTTTTAATTTTGCCATGAACTATTCCTCAAAGGCACAATGACTTCTAGAGGAAGTAGATCTCATTCTTCATGCACTGGGCCTGTAATGAGAGAAAACGACTTGAAAATGTAAGTTGACTTGAAAAGTTGGGCATTGAAGCCTCTTTACTCCTAATACACTGTATTTATGACTCCAGATTTCCTCTCTTATACTACATAAATACTACTGCCCTTCTGTTCCTCTCGCTTCTGAATGAAATATGCAAGATGTAAATATGGTTTCTATAATGTATGACATTTTTAATAATCCACTTTGATTCTGTAGACAAGTGTGTGGTTGTAGCTAGCCGTGTTTTATTTAATGTTTTGTGGTTTGTTTTTTAATGTGACTCAGTTCAGGTTTAATTTGTATAGCGCTTTTAACCGTAGGAATCGCCTTGAAGCAGCTGTACAGGGGTTTGGGTCTGTGGTCTTTCATTTTATTATTGATTTTTTTTATCTCCCATTGGCTCACAGACGTTTCAGGATTAATGTCTAGAATATGTGTCTGATGTTTGACAATCGAAATAAGTACTGTTATAATCTCATTCGTCCATTTGCAACAATTCAAAGTCACCTTACTCTATTTAATGTGTCCAGAGAAAGCCAAATATGATTGCATAGAGTTGGAAGATGGTTTCTTTAGATTTTTATGTTTTTTTTTTTTTGTAATATTGATCCAAAAAAAGGACATATTCCATGACAGCGTATGTGAAATGTGATTGTAACACTGGATAGACTAGTTCTCAACACTACTGAGAACTATAATACTACACTGGCACAAATCTGTCAGGATTGTATGGAAAACCTTAAAGAATTTAGAACAAGAGTTCTGGATGGACCTGTATTTGTTTCTCCTGTTAAACGAGAGTTTGTACATATATTTATAGCTTCCAGAAAGCGTTTGGGCTCCAAGAACGACTCGTCTCTTTCATCCGCTCGCTGTAGTGGAGACATCCGTCGCCTGGATTAAAGATCCAAGCAATGTGATCGAAGATGTGCAAACAGTCCCGGTCCTGGTTTATCATAAGGAAGTTTCCTCTATCCTCTGACCTCACGGCCTACCTGTATAATCTGCCTGTTTTTCCCAAATCTACATGGATTTTCAGGAATTTTCAGTTTCCAGTCATGTACATGGGTAATTATTAAATGGTAATAAACACAGATTTTCCTACATTGTCAAGTGTTCATTTTTGCCTCCACACGTCACTATAGACCTGTAAATATGGTGTGTTATTCAAGATTTTTATTAAAAACTGGTTGAGCTGGTATAAAGGGAATATGAAAATAATGTTAATGCAAAACTAGTTCAGCTCCATAACAAGTAGGTAATTGCAAATATAAATGCAGTAAACTTTCCTGCGCTTTTAGCAGTGATGCCTAAAATAGTGATTTTGTTTTATATTTAGGTCCAAAATCAAGTTCTTAATGTTTGTCTATGTGGTGTTTTTAATATGCTTTATGACAAACCATGTGTAAGTTCATAAGTCGACAGCATTGCTGAGTATTTTCTCCTTAAAACTGCAGTGAAACAAAGACAGTCTCAAAATCACGGTTTGAAATCGCTGGTGTTTCTGACGTCACAAACGACCTTGTAACCAATCAGATCAACGTGTGATCGTCAACCAGTGGATCTCTGAGCTGAGTGAGTGAGTGGAGGCGGGGCTCATTTGCATATTCATAGAACCACGTATACTAAATGAAGCAAGGGTGTCGAGTTACATTCAAGATATTTTAAGACATGAGGAAATGTTTTTAGGGCTCAAGGAAAAGTGTTTAAATATGTCATTTTGGTGATCAAAGATGAGTTTTAAAGGGATACTCCACCAGTTTTTCTTATTAAACTATGTTTATCCCTTAACTAAGACGAGTTGATACATACCTCTCTCGTCTCAGTGCGTGCACTATATCGCTCTGTATTGCCGCAAAACTATGTTAGCACTTAGCTTAGCCCATGCATTAAATATGGGCCAAGCAGAGAAGCGACCAAACACTTCCACGTTTTCCCTATGTAAACACAGTTACTCGAGTAGTGTAACTTGACCTGGGCTGGTGACACAAAATAAACCGTTGCGCTTTTCTAAGCGTTTAAAATTGATGACTATATTGTATGGCGGAATACCATAACAAGTGCTTTGAGCACTTCGACTTGGCGCAATAATATCTTCACTTGTGAAAAGTCCTCTTACCGGCTCCCGCTTCCTCTCCCCCTCCCTCTGACATTTCCGTCAATACAACCAACGTGACTTTTACTACCTGTGCTATTAGCAAACTGCAGATCATTTGCAATGGCGGACTTTGTAGATGATTATGACTTCTTTGTAGAAGACCCAGGCCAGAGCCATATCTGTTTGAACCCGAGTACACGGAGGAGGAATTAGCTCTTATGGACCGTGAGAGGCAAGAAAGATATGATCCAGAACAGACCGGAGCTGGCGAAAGACCACGGGCTTTCTGTAAGTGATCTGAATATTGTTGGTGTAGCCTCATCCTTTAGGCGTGTTCCTGTGCAGGTATAGTCCTCCTTTGTGAAATGTTCGGAGCAAACACGCCACTTCTTCAGAGTCATCAATGGTGTTTTGGGATTCTTGTTCAAAGCAGCTAACCAAGCTCTCCGCTGTATGTGGTGTGTTGGAATTCGGTGAAAAATGACAGCACTACATTCTCCTTATTTTCACAACCCTTTACGATGCACGCTTTAACCATTATTGTACACAAACTAGCTTCCAAAAACCTGTTACTTCGTCAACTCCGCTCGAACTACTACTACCGGCGCATGTCACGTTGGTTGTATTGACGGAAATGTCAGAGGGAGGGGGAGAGGAAGCGGGAGCCGGTAAGAGGACTTTTCACTAGTGAAGATATTATTGCGCCAAGTCGAAGTGCTCAAAAGCACTTGTTATGGTATTCCGCCATACAATATAGTCATCAATTTTAAACGCTTAGAAAAGCGCAACGGTTTATTTTGTGTCACCAGCCCAGGTCAAGTTACACTACTCGAGTAACTGTGTTTACATAGGGAAAACGTGGAAGTGTTTGGTCGCTTCTCTGCTTGGCCCATATTTAATGCATGGGCTAAGCTAAGTGCTAACATAGTTTTGCGGCAATACAGAGCGATATAGTGCACGCACTGAGACGAGAGAGGTATGTATCAACTCGTCTTAGTTAAGGGAATAACATAGTTTAATAAGAAAAACTGGTGGAGTATCCCTTTAAGGGATACAATGATTGACTGCAGGGGGACTTTAAGTTTGACACATTTTCAAGACATCACAGCCAAATCACAGAGTGAATCAAACCTTTAAAAACTATTAAAATCTAAAATGAAGATTTAATAAGCATAACAGATGCTTTAAAAGAAAAGTGTTTACAGTAATGACTGAGGCTTAGACATGGCTGTGTGATTCTCAAAACTACAAAAAAATCTTTTAAATTGCACATTCTTATAGATGCAAAAGAATATTAGCAGATACCAGCGATATCGGTGAAATTGTTTATAGTGGCATATCTGTCTTGCTTAGTTTACTTTCTAACATAAGAACTGCAACAACGTATTAAATGAATACATTTTTATTTTTCTTGTGCCTTCAATAAAACATCTTTGACATGAGAGAATTAGAAAACAGTTCAGGTGTATTTACATATCTTTTATGTGTGGCATAAAAATGATTACAGAGAGAAATACCAGCAAAATCTATTACAATCAAATGATTTTCTGTAGCGAGACGAGCTACAATAATGACAACTAAAGTGTGAGTCGTCGAGATGCTGTCTGATATTCTCATTTTGGGTTATGAAAGTTTTGGGGGGGAATGCTGATAATTCATTAAAAAAAATGAATGGACCTTAAAACAATTAAAGTAGATTAAATCAGTAGCAATATAAACTAGAAATGAAACGCACGTCTGCATCGGGCATAAAAACAAGAGTCTGGCCCAAAACAACTGGGGGAAAACCAAAGATAAAGAGATACATTTATCTATGATAATAAACATGATGTAAATAATATTGAGTAATTGTTTTTCCAATGATATAAATATTCAGTGATTAATATCAAAACATTTGATCAAAGCTTTCCCTTCCTTTGCTCAATGTTCGCATTGTTCAGACTAAAGCAATGAAATACTCAGTGTGTGTAGTGTAGAAACAGTCCAATTCAGCTGAGATTTTATCTGGCTTTAGAGGACAAACCTCTTCAGTATTAAAAAAAATGCCCATGAGTTAGAAAAACACGCTATATTACCCTGCAAAACCGCGTCCGGAACAATAACGGAATGTTTCAGTCTCTCAGTACGAGTTCACATACTTGTTTTCTTCTCCACTGACACTTAAACACCAGCGCAAAACATAAATGACTATTTCCCGGTTCAAGCTTTGGCTTTTAGGCCTCATTTCTGCAGTCCAGACAATCACATCTTCACCTCAATCTCATCTGCATTTCCACGTGTGTTCCTTCTGTGAGGACAGAAGAAGAGGACAATAATGTGAACGACGGATGCCTCTTCAGCAAAAAGAGTGTGCCGAGCGACAGAACTAAAATAATTTGAAGCTAAAAATGATATTTCCTTTCCCTCTCCCTGAAGTGGTACAGGGACTCAATTATTAAACGAGTTTCTTCTTAGAAAAGCAATTGCATTTCTGAGCATGTCTCTTTCCTGGCGGGAGCAGCCGGATCTCTGTTAATAAATCTGTGGTGCTTCATCAACTCCTGTTTTTGAGATGGTTGCATATCATAGATGTTTTCCATTTCTGGAGCACCTTCCAGCTTATAGAGAGAGAAGGAAACTCTTCACTCTTCTTCATCAAGCACTGCCTGAGGGGAAAACAGAAGAAAAGACCAGGCTGTCAATAGAGCATCTAAATCACTCATAAATGAACCGTTCCAACTAACATTAGCTGTATGCTTACATTTGGAAGTCATACCGTCAACTTCAAGGGACATTTCAGTCTTTTTGGAGCTTGCCGTACAATTAACATTCAGTAATATTGAATGAGTGGCACTAAATTGAGCTGAATAATGACACTGCTGTCTTCTGAAGAGCTGCTTTACAGCTGGAATTGAATTAGTTTCATAAATTAATTTTTATCACATTAACACAAGCCCCTTTCACACATACGGTCTTTTATGACCAGTAAGAGATCCTGTGTGACCGTTCCAAAAATACTGGTAAATCGATTCTGGAAATCATATCGTCAACTATCCACACGATTCTCTTTACAAATCTGGGAAAATGGTTGACGCATGTTGTGTTCCCAAATGCAAACTATAAGCGACTCAAACACACATTATATGATTTAACGTGAATCAAAACGAAAATGAAAACGAACACTAGCCCACAACATTTTTTGGTCGGGAAGTTCGGTCTGGACTCGATCCATTGAGGAGTAATTATGATTTAGGAGAATTAGTCGGGCCAATCAAATTGCCAGGGCGGGCTTTACACGATGATGGACAGATGATCTGCAGTTACGTAATCATCACGTTATCAAAGAGCGCTTGGGTTGAACTGGTTTCCCTCAGAGACGACTGCCGCTGGAGAACTGAGATGTAGAGATTTGTTGTAAAAGAAATCGACAGCGCATTCATTTTAAAAGACGAACAGAGAACTGCAATCAAGGCATTTGTCGATCGGAAAGATGTGTTTGCCGTCCTTCCTACGGGATTCGGCAAAAGTTTAATTTATCAGCTGGCTCTGATGGTCGCTAAGAAGATGGGACGCAATGAAGACCCTGTGGTCGTTGTGGTTTCTCCTTTGGTCGCACTCATGGAGGACCAAGTCAAAGAAGCAACACTCGTTATTTTACTACTTCTTCCAGCGTGCGTGCAGTTGAGTTATGTTGACAACTGTGCTAAGCAACTATACGTTGCTCTGATTGGTTGTAGCTCTATCCAATTGAGTGCAGAGTTTTTTTTCCTGGTTCGGTTAAGACACGCCTCATAATCAAAGCCCTATGGAGCAGTATCAGACTCACATTCTGACTAGAATATGAGTGTGACGAAGTCAGGCTAGCACTTTACATCATCACATCACATTTTGTGAAGCAACTGATTAATCAGATTCAAAGCCTCACGTCTCCCATCAATAGTGTAGTCTATTAAGTGCTATATACATAAATGTAAAATGTGATGAACTGTCATTTGGAAAATGAAGATTATCTTGTATTTTGAGTCTTACCGTCGTCTCCACTGGTGAGCACCAAAGACTGCAGGATATCAGACAGAGAGACGATGCCTTTCACCACTTCCTGCTCATCCACGATCACTAGCCTGTGAACCTGAACATCAGACAGATCCCTCAGTACGGTCACATGCAGGCATTTTTCAGCTATTGTCCGCCCAAGTACTCATGTGTAATTAAAGATTTCATTTATCAAAATCTTAAATCTTGTATGCATATATCAGGATCATTTATGAAGTTTTCCATTATGATGGAATTGATTTCTAGGGGATTTTAACCCTTCGTAAAAGCAATTTTTAGAATGATCCTATTAAATGTATCTGTGTTTGAAAAGTCATTGACGTTGATTGCTCCTGATATTGTAATAATTATTATTAACATTGATTAATAGAAAACAAATAAACACAATAATGTGTTTGAGGAACAGCATGTCATATTCTGGCTATACAGACACAGCGTGTCAGTCCATGACTTTAGTCTAGTGCGAGTTATCACAAAAACTCAATCTCTTATTTAGATAATATCTGTACTTTATTGTTTATTATCTAAAAACTTCTGATTGGCTCAACAAAAATGTGTGATTGGTTATAATGCTCAACACTTCAATCACTTTTCATTTTCACATTTACAGCAACAGTGATAATAGATTGTTTAACTGTGTGGGACATCTTGAATATGTATTAAATTTTGGTGGCATGTTTACCCCAAGCTTCTGTTCATTTCTGTTCATTTCACATTGAGACAAACACACACAGAGAGATACAACAGTGTATAAACTCACATGCGTCATTCATTTTGAGATTGTTTTTTAAAAATTGTAAAAGAAAAAGAAAAAAAAAAAGTCAGATTTTAAATGAAATACATAATGTTAAAAACATCAGGAGTACAAGATCTTGTACCGTAGTGACTGCATTCCCTCAAGCTGATCAATATCAGATCCAGAGGCTTTAAACACACACTAGCAGGTGGGAATCCAGTCGAACCAGAAACATCACATTCACATTCAACAGCGGCTCGATGAGGACGTTTACATGCACACCACTACACAGATGACTCACAAAAATCAGCTTATTGAAATAACCTGTTGTCTGGGTTTACATGCAAACCAATAACCCGACTACGCAAGTACACCACGTTTACAAGAAAACTGTGGGACACATGTGGGACATCTTGAATATGTATTAAATTTTGGTGGCATGTTTACCCCAAGCTTCTGTTCATTTCTGACCCTGGAGTGTGTGTATATAAACAATCAAATATACTGTATATATAGTCAAAAGTTTTAGGTCAGTAAGATTTTTTTTAAATACATAATACTTTGATTTAGCAAGGATGCATTTATAATGTTAAAAAATAATTTGATTTCAAATAAATTAGTAAATGAATCAATACATTTTCAACTTTCTAAAGTAAAAAAAAAAAATCATGGTTTCCACAAAAAAAGTAAAAGCAGCAAAAACTGTTTTCAACATTGATAATCGGAAATGTTTCTGGATCATGTGACACTGAAGACTGGAGTAATGATGCTGAAAATTCAGCTTTGATCACAGGAATAAATTACATTTGAACATATATTAAAATAATAGTAATTTTAAATTACAATAATGATGCTATTCTAGAGCATGAGAGACTAAGAGTCTTTCAAAAATCTGACCCAAACTTTTGACCAGTATATATGCAATCATGAGCAGAAGGCTGAGGTTAACTGCCATCATGTCACATGTGTGTTCCTCACCTCAGCCTCCACCAGACGGTTAATAATGGCCTCGAGGGTCTCGCTGGCTCGACAGGTCAGCACACCCTCGAAATACTGCGAGCGATGCTGGAGGGCTTTAGTCACGGTGATGTCCAGGTTATTATACGTCTTCTCAGCTGCCAGGTTCTGTGTGATGATATGAAAAACACATTGAGACAAACACACACAGAGAGATACAACAGTGTATAAACTCACATTCATTTTGAGATTGTTTTTTAAAAACTGTTTAAAAAAAAAAAAAAGTCAGATTTTAAATGAAATACATAATGTTAAAAACATCAGTGACTGCATTCCCTCAAGCTGATCAATATCAGATCCAGAGGCTTTAAACACACACTATCAGGTGTGAATCCAGTCGAACCAGAAACATCACATTCACATTCAACAGCTTAACTGCACCACAGCGATTAACTGCTCGATGAGGACGTTTACATGCACACCACTACACAGATAACTCACAAAAATCAGCTTATTGAAATAACCTGTTGTCTGGGTTTACATGCAAACCAATATCCCGACTACGCAAGTACACCGCGTTTACAACACTTTATTAATAAATCAGGTTATTTCCCGGAAGTGACGTCAAAACATAATAATTTGCGTTTCTGACTCAAGTATTCAGTATTTCATTTATGTCGGTTGTGATGTTAAATAAAGCTTTAAAACGGCTTTAAGAGGAGTCGGCGGGAAACTTACGGCTCATATTATCCTCTGATGCGGTTACATTTAGACTGAGCCGCTTCTTCTTCTAATGCCGCGTTCCAGGCAACCTGTAACCCGTGTTTTTCCAACCTTATACCCGTGAAAGTGCACTGGAACGGCAGTCAAACCCATGACTTCCCACCCGTGAACTCGTACTAGATCGATGTACTCCCAGTTACGAGCTCTGACGTCACATAGCCCGCGAAACTATACAAAACAACAACGGTTTGTTTACATCTAGCTACCACAATTCCTTGCGCTCAGGTAGTTTGGCGTGACTAGCCTGGAACGCTACAAAGTCGTGAGTCGTGGTTTGAAGTCGTGATTTACGTGCTCAAAAACCTGCCTGGAACGCAGCATAATGTACGAGATGAGAGCACTTTTATACTTTTTTGGGTCAAGAAAGAGTCTGTTTTTGCATATATTTACTCCTCCATTAATGCAAAACGCTCGTTCTGTCTGGATGTGCTTAAATCCACGGTGAGGACGGACGCGTTTCATGCGCACTTCAATGAGCCGACAGAAAGCAGGTTAATGTGTTTACATGCCGGGAGAAATCAGCGGAAGGGGCAAAGATCGATCAGTGACGATCTGCTTATGACCGCACTCCTATAAAAGAAAACGGGTTACCGCGTTTATGATCACTTGCATTGTCGGGTTAAGAGTGAGTGCGTTTTTTACATGCACAATGTCCACTGTTCTAGTTTCAAACAACAGATATAAACACACACAACTTACTATAACATCAAACTTGGAATAGATGTCAGTCACATGTCCTGTCGGCATAAACGAGAGGGAGAAACAATGATCAAGTGAGAGGGGAAGGAAAAAACTAAATCACAGATTTGCAATTTACACTATAAAAAATACACTATATTTTGAATATCTTTATTACCATTTTCATCCACCACAGGGAGAGCGGACACTCTCTGATCCACGAAGATGCCCAGCGCGGAGTAGAGCGGCGTATCAGCGTGAACCACTGCGATGTTGTGAAACGTCCCGATGTTCAACTCCTCCAGCGTTTGAGACAGAAACGCAGGTTTGGGGATTTCAGATATCTGGGAGAGAAAACTAGCATCATCATAAACAGGAACTCGAAGAAATTCGAAGTTGTACTAGATGAGTAAAGAGGAAATTTAGCAGTAGTTGCTTCATTCCAGTTGTGACACAATTACAGCAACAGCTCTGTGACAGAGGGTTACCAAATAAATGAATGCCTGGGCTTAATTTCATGCGTCACAGGTTTGTTTGTTTGTAAACTTTATTGTCCTTTTTCAGGAAATTTGTCTTGGGCTCAAAGCTACATTAATACACCACATACATACAGCAAATGGACTGGAGGCTGCGTTAATGCACAGTATACATATAACAAATAACAAATGCACACACAGAAACTATAGACCTACATTACTGCATCTTGCTATTTAACATATTGATTGATAGAGGAATGAATGATTTTTTATAACGGTTACTCTTAAACAATGGTACTCCCTGTCTCCCTGATGGCAGCATACTGTCTCCCTGATGGCAGCAACTCATACATTGGAAATAAAACATGGCTGGTATCACCCACTATTGTCTGTGCATTTTTTAAAACCAACGATTCATAAATTGATTGAAGTGATGAGTATTCCCTTATACCCATAACCTTCATTGGAATTCTCACAAGACATGCAATCTGTGATTTTAATTGAACCGAAAGATTGCCATACCAGGTTAGCATGCCATAATTTAAAAGGCTACCTAAAACGGCATAATAAAATAATTGCATAATTCTCTGATTTACACCAAACAGCCTAAGTTTTCTAAAAAAATACAAGCGTTGTTGGAATTTTGAGGCGACATAATCAATGTGGGCTTTCCAAGTGAATGAACAATCAATAACCACACCTAGATACTTATAGGTATCCACCTGATCAATGACATTATCATTGATGATGACGGCTGTAATCACCTAATTTTTTTGGATCTATTATAATTTCTTTAGTTTTTGATGCATTTAAGATGCAAAAATTTAAGGTGAGCGATTATTAGGCAGGCAGGACTTACAAAAAGTTTCAGGAATTTGAGGATCCTCTTGTGTGTCAGGATGTAGAGTGTGTTTCCCGTTAGAGGATCAATCACAGGTAATCTGTGGATCTTATGCTTCAGTAGAGATGAAACTGCATCATAAAGGCTGAGAGAGAAGAAAACATCAGACATGTCACATCTCTCCATCAAAACCATTCAATCTGCCTGCACCAATCACAAGTATTACCTGGCATTGGGTGATATGCTCACGAGAGGCTTGAAGGAATCTTGCAAGTAGACCTCTATAAGAAAACAACAACAGATCAGTCATAGGCTCACACGTCAGAGCATCTACATCATGAACACGTCAACATTATCCCCACCTCTCCATGTCTCTATTTTGTGTTCTTCTAGCTCATATATCTGGACCTAAAACCGAGAAAAATGCATGAAATCTTTGAAAATTCCTCTAAATGACTCGAGAATAAGCTTCAGTAGGAGATTAACAGTCTTAACATGAGCAGGAGGAGAGAATTTTACCAGAGGAGACTTGTAATAGCGATGAAGTATATTGATGAAATCTGTGATGGTCAGCATACCTACAATAGCAAAAAGGGTATGAAAGAAGATGTGCATAAGTTGAATCAGAACTACTTTTAAACTGTTGTTACAAGTAACTACTGTGCATTAATTATTTAATTGCAAGTAATTTTTTATCATAATTGAAAAAAAAATGCTCTATTTTCATTTTAAAACATTGCCTTTCTTCTATATAGGCAAACAAATTTTATTGAAAGCACATTCTGCCAGCAGTGATTTTCTTTTTTCCCTTGAATGTGTTGCATTATGCAAGTTAAATATATTATGAATAGAGGTGGACCGATTCATCGGTTTTGCCGATTAATCGGCACCGATAGTTGTTTGGTGGAACTATCGTTATCGGCAAAAATCCACACCGATAGTTTTTCCGGGTTGCGTCCGTTGCTGGAGCGGCTGAGAAGTGCGCGCGGTCATTACACAGCACGAGAGCGCTCAGAACAGAAGAGACTGCTGACATTATACAGAGTGAGAGCGGCCTCTAGCGGACAAATAACAAACTATCACTGGCTGAGTTGTTTACGTTAACACGTGAGGCAGCGCGCAGCACGGAGAGAACACGCAGCGAGAGCGCTGACATTTAAAACACCGACAGCAAAACGGTATGAATACATAACACTAAAGTAGCTACATATTGCCATATCATTACAAATTAATTCATTTGTTGACTAGATGCTGCATCAGCAGAGAAAGAACAGTAGTTTGCCGTTGAGGCTGTGAGGACTCTAACATTACCTCAACCGTTAATGCAATGTGACAAAAACACACGCAGACCTGACCCAAATGTTTTATGGCGCAATTGTTACAATCTATTTGCATTATTTTTATCCGGCTGGTCAATTTTATGCGTTCATTAGCCGACGAAGTTGCATATTTAAAACTAGTGACGTGATTGCTTTCTCAACATTGATATGTTCATGCAGCCGACAGAAACGTAAACTAATCAGAAACGCGTTCGATTTAAGATCTTTTTAATCACTACAATAGATCTTGTTATTTTTGATTAGATAATCATCAAGTGTTCTAAAATATAGAAGCAAATAAAGTGAGAGACTATAGGCTATATTACGTATACATAATACAGGTCTTTATTACATTTTAATGGCCATCTTTAAGCACGACTCTTTGGAATCATATGAAATGGTAACACTTTACAATAACATCGCATTTTTAGCATTAAATAAGGTTAATACAAGTTGTAGAAGAATTATTCATTGTTACGGTAGTTTGTTAATTTCAACATTTACTAATGCATTTGAAATTGAGTTTTAATTCTTATTTTATCTTTTATTACCTTAGTTAATGTACTGTGAATGAACTAACATGAATGATAAAGGTACAATTGTATTGCTCATATTAATACATGCAGTAAAAAGGTATATTGCATTATGCATATAGTTCATGAAAGCTAGTTAATACATCCTTGTTTACAAATGGGACTTGCAAAGTGTTATGAAATGTACATATGTTTCTAGGTTATAGCTAACGAAACCTGTAATATTTTAATGTTTAAATTATTTTCTGTATAAAGTTAATATATTCATATTTATTTATTTAAAGGAGCTGTATGTAAGAAATTTATTTCAATTAATCATAAAATGGCCCTGATATGTCACTAGACATTAAAGTCCCACTCCGATCATATTTTGAGCTATTTGTAAACATTCCCAGTGGTCTTTAAATTATGATTATGCCATTTTTAGCCAAACTCACAAAACCTGTGCCGTTTTCTGGGACTTTGCTTCAGCAGAGCGGCAGTAGCTCATTAGCAATTCGCCTCTGCGTTGTGGGCGGAGCCGTTGGCACGGAGATGACCCTCCCCCTCCCCGTTGCTGAGAGCTCTGTCTCTCCCGCTAGCTTACACCCCCAACCTGTCATTACCGGTGCAACAAAAATTGAGAGCAATATTGGAGCTATCCAGCCGTACAGTGCGTTTTCGTTTTAAAATGCATAACTTTTGCAACGATTATGCGCTCCTGCCGTCCACATTACTGACCCTCGGCCTCGAAAACGGAGACTGACCCCTTCAGTCGAGTCCGGTGCAAGACACGCAGGTGACGCAACCCATAGCAACGAGTCATGGCAACGACAGCTCAAACCGACAGAAACATACAAGTAAACGTGAATTTTGTCACATTGTCATGTTAATTATAATCAAATGCATTTTGTTTTATTGAAAACAATATTATCATTGATATTTGTTTGAGAGGGGCACTTTCGATTAATTTTAACAAGCTTGTGGCCCCGCCCAGTGGAGTTACTACGTCACAACTCCAGTCTATTTTGAACGGCATTTTAGCGTCTGCTACTGATTCACAGCCATTTGAATGTAGAAATACTCAGAAATACAACTTTGAGCTTATTTTTCTCAAGATATGTCCTCTAACATAAGAAAAATGCCACAAGAACATGTTAACACCTAGAAAAACATTATTTTCATCGGAGTGGGTCTTTAAGAAATCATGTTCACTACAAATACTTATATCACTGACAACAGTAGTCCGGCCAGGATATTGTCCTTTAAAAAGTGCAGTTGCAGCCCTCAACTGATGTTGATGTTGTCATGTTGTGTTTTGGTCTGAAGCCCCACCCTCCACCTATCTACCAATCACGAAGTCAGTAGTGTTGCTGCATCCGGGTTGCCAGCTCTGCTCTAGGTACCACTTCTTGTAGCAGCCTACGTTCCTGCTGGATCCTGCAGTCTATCTGGCAACCTCGAGTCAGGGGGGAGGGGGAGGGGATACACCGCTCTACAGTCATTTGAAAGTGATTGCAGTACCAGTTTTGGCCACAATCTTACATACGGCTCCTTTAATTGAGCACATTTTAGTTCAGCACTGTTTTATTGTGAGTATGATGTTTGTTTTTAATCCAGTATCCATTAAAAAAAATATCGGTTGAATTATCGGTTATCGGCATGTACGGTCAAACCTAGATATCGGTATCGGTAAAATCCACTATCGGTCGACCTCTAATTATGAAAGCCTTTTAATGTCATTAATCAATCACAATTTTGAAACTTCCAAAAACACTTGCTTACCAACAAAGCATTGCTTCTTGCTGTCCCAGAGAGGCGCTGCTCTCACCCCATTAGACACCAGAGCAAAGAACGCCTTCTTCACCTGGAAACCATACAAACACAAATTAACCAGCATGCACTCGGACAGTTTAAAATGTCATGAATGTTGACACGGATTACAGAGCAAACATATCCAACCCCTAAAGTCAACATGAAATCAATACTGACCCCATTTCTTAATGCATGTGCCTATTAATAATTCAGTGGTGCACATTATTCAAAATAAAAAAAAATTATGTTATTTAATTTAATTGTGTTATTATTATATATAATTATTATAATCTTTTATCAAAAAGTTCTTCCTCTTAAATAACATAGCTTATAACACAAGCAGTACATTTATAAATAGGCCTGGTTTCACAGACAGGGCTTAGAATTAGCCAGGATTAGGCTTTAGTTTACTTAGGACATTTAAGTAGCTTTTATAACATGCCTTAGACAAAAACATTACTGGTGTGCATCTTGAGACAATACAATGACACTGATATATTTTAAGATATGCCAGTACAAGTTGCTTTTTCAGTTGTAACAGCTCAAACTTGCATTTTAGTCTGGGACTAGCTTAAAGTCTAGTCTGTGAAACCGGGGATAATGTCATAAACAGCCAAAAGGCTTTTTAGGCATAGTGTAATAAATGCACATTTAATCTGGCTGTATACTGGTGTGGAATGGCTACTTTACATCATCTTCTTAATTGATGATGGGTAATATCTAGTGCTGCCCAACATTTTTCTTGTTTCACACAGAAATGGGTCACATATGGAAGTAAATTGGTTGTAAGCAAAGTTGCACATTGAACAACATTTGTCTTCTGAGTTCCCACCTGGAGAGAAGTGTCAAACACCACTAACTTTGAGCTGGTGGGCACCAGGTCATAGCAGCGGTGGGACTTCATGAAGCGGGTGTACACATTATACTCAGGATCTGGTTTGATAGAGAGGGGGAAATAAAAAGGGATAATTCACAATTGTATTGCTTGAAACTGCACGGTCTAAAACATTCAAACATGAACAAGCATTAAAACACAACTGACAAAAATAATGACAGAAAAAAGTGTCAGAGAACAAAGTGTCACTGGATCATGTTTCTGTTGTCACTTTAGTCTCAGATTTCACTGCAAACAGAGAAGTCAAACCCCTGCTCGGCTCTCGCACATGAGCTGCAGGTGATCGCAGGACTACAGTCTCATTTTTATTTATTCACACTCTTACCCTCTATGTGCGCCTCCTTTTTACCATCCAACTCATCTAGAACAGCAGGAACCTGAAAAACAGATGTCAAATTGTAAACATTCAAAACTTTTGGTTTTCCAAAATATGGAAATGATCACATTTTTCATAATTGTGATCATTCTTCTGATGAGTTCTCGCTGATTAACAATGATCTGAATTAGAGTTACTAAACTAAGCAAAAGGCTAAAATGTGTCAATAGAATACATATTAGCCAGATAAGTTAATGGGAGAACAGTTCTGCTCGCTTCAAAGTATTGCAGGTTCTTACACATTAATAAACTGTTGTTTTTAAAGCTCTGTTCCTCCATGATCTAGTTTACTGATTTGCTTGTTATTAACTTGACTAACCAATAACTGAGAAAGCTGTCAGATATTACTGGAAACTTGGCAAATTACTAGCTGGAACATTTTGTTAAGATGTTATGTTAAATACTGGACTAACACCAGCAAGAGCAAACGAAAGCAGCACTAGTGTAAAAAGTAACAGAAAACTAACATGGTACTAGACTAGAGTCTCAGCGACTATTGTTGTGGCAGTAAACTAACAAACTACTAACATGGTACTAGTGTAACAATTGTAAACGTGTTAACATGGTACTAGTGTTACAACAGTAAACATACTAGTGCAACAGCAGTAAACGTGTTAATATGGTACTAGTGTAACAACAGTAAACGTGTTAATATGGTACTAGTGTAACAACAGCAAACGTGTTAATATGGTACTAGTGTAACAACAGTAACAACAGCAAACATAGTACTACTGTAACAGCAGTGAACATCTTAACAGCACTAAACGTGTTAACATACTAGTGTAACAGCAGTAAACGTGTTAACATGACACTAGTATGATACTAGTGTAACAGCAGTAAACGTGTTAACATAGTTATAGTGTAACAACAGTAACAAACATGTTAACAGGAGTACACGTGTTAACTTAGTACTAGTGTAACAGCAGTAACTGTGTTAATAACATGGTACTAGTGTAACAATAGTGTAACAACAGTCAACGTGTAAACAAACATAGTTATTATATTATAATGTAACAACAACAGTAAACGTGTTAACATAGCTAGTTATAGTGTAACAACAGTAAAGTTAACAACAGTAAACGTGTTAACATAGTTATAGTATAACAACAGTAAACGTGTTAACAGCAGTAACTTAAACGTGTAACTTGCGTTAATTGTAGTAAACTAGCAGCACAGAACTAAACTTGACCGCAGGATAAATATCACTGGCTACATATGAATAAGAAATAGTCTACTACACAGCACTACAGTAATAACACTTAAGGCACAACCTCAACACTTTAATCGATATAAGCCATTTTTGAATATTGTAACACAATTGAACAAAACCCGTTGTTTGTTTAACTGTCTCTCGGCGTCATTCAAGGAGACTGAATCTGTCAGATCAACTCTTTCTCCTTAACTGTTAAATCTCACAATACTTACACACTCCATGATCCATTCACAGCGTAAAGACACTTAATGGGTTTCACTTCGATCTCTGAATGCGAAAATGTAGTTTAATTCGGTAGCTGAACTGATGTTTAATGTTACTGGTGCCGCTGCTCGCTCACACTTCTTTCAGGATGCGGAAGACCACTCCTGAGGCCGCGACCGGATATGACGATACACACGTGTGCGCGCTTCTCATTCATCACCATCGTACATAATAATGTTTTAATCCTGCTAATAATGAACTGGTTGTAAAAGTATAGTTTCATAAATATGATTGACATAACAGCATTGCAAAATAATTATGATACGCACAACATTTTTTTTTAACTTATAATAAAACATGTCTGTGACAGATAAACGTTGTATTTATTTGATTTAATTGGGCAGTATGTAAAATAAAAGTTAAAAGTAAAACGATTTTAAGCACTAGATAAATAATAGCGTTGTCAAGGCAACAAAAATCTATCGCAAAACATCATTTTGAACAGGGCAGAAATGAATCCAAAGAAAAGTAGAAAACACGATAATCAGCAGGGCAAGGACAGGCCAGAAACACAATCAAGAGCTACATCAATGAACATAACTAGTTTAATACTTTTAATTACAAGTAAAGTTAGGCCTAATTGTTCATACATTGCGAGTCTATTAATGGTCATGAAATGTATAAATGGCCTTGTCATCTATCAACTGCACTCATTTAGCAGAGAAAAGCATTAACATGGAACTGAAGTCTCTCCAGTTGAAAACTGCAGTGTTTGTGGATTTCTTCAACACGTTTTTAAGTCTTCCAGTAAGATGAAATCTTCTGTCTGCTCCTCATTTCATGTCTTGAATTAATGTGCTGTTGGTCCTGGACTCACCCTGCTTCATGTTGTCCTGTTTCAGGTGTTCGGGCAAACCCCTCTACATTAGGGTTGCCACCTGTCCCGGTTTTACCGGTATTGTCCTTCTTTTTAATAACCTGTCCCGGGAAATTTATGCACTCTCCCGGGACACTGAATGTCCCGGTTTTCGAAAGGCTACGTGAATATGTGGCCAAATGTGTCCTTTGCTCAGGTAGGTCAGCAGCAGCTCATTTTATATTTATAATAATATTTACTAGACCACAAAACGTGTTTATGGAAGCCCTTTTCTGCCACACAAGAAGAAAGAAAAAAAACCAAGCTTTGGTAAATCTTATTTATGAGATAAATGATGACATCCTAAATCATATTTATTAAATGAAATGTTGAAATAATGGCATAATGAGTCATGATTATGAGATTAAAACGACAAAATTATGACATGCTAAGTCATTTTGACCAAGTCATAGGCTAATAAAGATTCCCAGGGAAAGCAAGAACTGATAAGAATGTAAATGTGTAGGCCTACCTTGAAATGCAGGACAAGTAATTAGCTTTGGATAAAAGCGTCTGCCAAATGCATAAATGTAAATGTAAATTAGATAAAACATTGTAATCATGACATACTAAGATTTAAAAAAAATATGAGATAAGTAGCCTAAGCATTAGGGTACGAGAGGCTGTGCTGTATCGTGAATAAGTAATGGCTGAAGGGTGTTGTTAGGCACGACGCGGAGTAACCCCTTCAGCCGTTACTTATTCACGATACAGCACTTGCCTCGAGTACCTTTTTGCTTTTATAAAACGGTTACCACACAATACAAATATTAAAGTAAAAAAAAAAATTTATTAGTGCAACTTTCATGAAGTAAAATCACTAAAACCCTTCCTTCCGTTAGAAAAAAAATAGTCGCTGCCCGTGAACAGCAACAACGTTCCAATGTGTAATATGCATGAAAGCTACTCGGTTACTATCGTAACCTCAGTTCCCTGAGATAGGGAACGAGTATTGCGTAGCTATACGCAGTGGGGAAACTCCTTTTCCTCGATTTACTGAAGCCTATATGTAAAACGCATTTGCAGCTGCACAGCTACCACACTGAGCGTCTGACCCGCTCATAGGCTGTGCTGCAGCAACTGCACATCCAATGGCGCGGGCGAATCTGACGCACGACCAATGAGCTAGCCCAACGTCAGAGCCCGTCGAGGGGGCGTGGCCCAGCCTATATAGACCCCCGAATTCGCCATTATAGCAGGTTTATACGACTGAAGCGACAACGTCACTAGTTACCATAGTGCGGCCGGCTACGCAATACTCATTCCCTATCTCAGGGAACTGAGGTTACGATAGTAACCGAGTAGTTCCCTTTCGAACGGTCACTTCGTATTGCGTAGCTATACGCAGTGGGGACACCATGCAAAACGCCCCACCCTGAGTAACTGGTTGCCCTGCCACTCAGGACCCCTGAGCTAACAGAACAAGCCAGAACCCAATAACATATGCATATACATGTATATATAACAGACCAGACACAGTCGGGTCTGAATAATATATATATAAGTCAGTAACAACTAACAGAATATACTAACAAAACCAGACATCGTCTGGATTATTAGTATAACTTTACTACCGGCCGAAGCGGGTTTATATAATATGTATGTGATTATGCACAGTAATTTTTGTAGATAAGACCAGCCACTGTCAGGTCTCAATCATACCGAAAGCACCTTCGCCTGCAGGGAAGGTACCTCCATATTATAGAACTTCATAAATGTTGAAGGCGAGGACCAGCCGGCCGCATCACAAATATCTTGAATGGGAAAACCAGATGACCAAGCCCACGACGAGGCCATACCTCTGGTCGAATGGGCCTTGACACCTATGGGGCAAACCTGACCCACTGCGGTGTAAGCCAAAGAGATGGCATCCACTATCCATCTAGACAGTCTTTGCTTAGTGACTGGATCACCCTTAGATCGGCCCCCAAAGCAGACAAACAGCTGTTCTGATTGTCTAAAAGACGCAGAACGCTCCAAATAGATTCTCAACGCCCTGACAGGGCAGAGAAGATTAACCTCCCCATCCTCGGCAGAAGGGGGAAGGGCTAATAGCGTAATAACTTGTGCTCTAAACGGCGTTGAGAGCACCTTGGGTACATAACCACGCCTGGGTTTGAGACTGACTCTGGAGTCATCCAATCCAAATTTCAAACATGCAGGACTCACTGAGAGGGCCTGCAGATCTCCCACTCGCTTGATAGATGCCAATGCCAACAGGAGAGCAGTCTTTAGCGAAAGTGGTTTTAGATCAACCGACTGGAGCGGCTCAAAAGGTGGTCCCCTCAGGGCCCTAAGGACCGTGGAGAGGTCCCAAGGCGGCACCGAAGGGGGCCTGGAGGGGTTAATCCTCCTAGCACCCTTCAGAAACTTTACCACCAGGTCATTCCTTCCTAGTGATTGGCCAGCCACCAGAGCATGATGCGCTGCGATGGCTGCCACATACACTTTGAGCGTGGACGGGGTGCGGCCCGTGTCCAGTAGCTCCTGCAGGAAGGAGAGCACCACCGAAACCTCACATGACTCTGGGTCAATACGATTTCTCGAGCACCAGCTGGAAAAACCCGACCACTTTAAAGCATAAAGGCGCCGAGTAGACGGGGCCCTTGCTTCAGAGATAGTGCTTAAGACCCTGTCAGGAAGGTCCCCGGATACCCGTTTAGGGGCCACACATGGAGGGCCCATAAATCGGGTCGGGGATGCCATATCGTTCCGTTGGCCTGTGTGAGGAGATCCTTCCTCATCGGAACAGGCCAGGAGGTCGTGTCTGACAACTGAACCAGTTCCGGAAACCAAGGTCTGGATTTCCAGAGAGGAGCCACCAGAAGGACTGGGCATCCGTTCTCCCTGACCCGCTCGATAACCTGTGGGTTCATCGAGACGGGGAGAAACGCGTAAAGGGGGCGGCTGGGCCAGAGATGAGCCAGCGCATCCCTGTTTTTCGAGAAAAACACCCTGCAGTGGGGGCTGGCTCTCGAGGCGAAAAGGTCGACTTCGGCCTCGCCGAACCTCTCCCATATTAGTCTGACCATCTGAGGGTTCAGGGACCACTCGCCTAGGGGAGTGTTGCCCCTTGAGAGCATATCCGCGCCAACATTCTGGACGCCCGGGACATGCGCTGCTCTCAGAGAGCTCAGATTGGCTTGTGCCCACATGAGGAGGTCCCTCGCCATAGCGTACAGGTTGCCTGACCTGATGCTACCCTGGCGATTTATGTAGGCCACCACAGACACGTTGTCTGTACGGACCAAGACGTGGTGACCCCTGAGGTTTGACAGAAAAGCTTTCAGGGCCAAACCAACTGCTTTCATTTCCAGACAGTTGATATGTAAGCTCTGCTCCGTGCTCGACCAGAGGCCGGAGGCAGGCTTGCCCTCGTGCAGCGCTCCCCAACCCATGTTGGATGCATCTGTAAAAACCACTTTCCTCCTGGAAACTATCCCCATGGTCACCCCCTTGCGGTACCAGTCCTGAGCCCGCCAGGGAATCAGTGTTCTCAAACACCCCTGATTCACCATAATGCGCAGGCTGCCTGACTGCCATGCATGGGTTGGCACACGGCGTTTCAGCCAGTGCTGCAGCGGGCGCATGTGCAGTAATCCCATGTGGAGTACTGATGATGCAGCTGCCATTAGACCAAGCAGTCTCTGAAACCTCTTCAGAGGCGCGCACTCGCGTGCCCTGAATGCGGCTACCAGTGTCTGCACAGAGAGCGCGCGCTCTTGAGTGAGCCGCGCTTTCATTGTCACCGAGTCTAAAACCGTGCCCAGAAAGACCACAGTCTGGCTGGGGTTCAGTTCGCTTTTGGCAACATTGATTGTGAGACCCAGGCACTTTAAATGGCTGAGAATCAAATCCCTGTGAACTATTAGTTCGTCTCTCGACTGCGCTAGCACCAGCCAGTCGTCGAGATAATTCAGCACACGCACTCCCTGGCTTTTCAGCGGGGAGAGCGCTGCATCCATACATTTCGTGAATGTACGGGGTGCCAGAGCCAGACCGAACGGCAGAACGGTGTATTGATATGCCCTCCCCTCGAAGGCGAATCTCAAAAATGGCCTGTGACGAGGGTCGATCTGAATATGAAAGTATGCATCTTTCAGATCCATTGAAACAAACCAGTCCCCCGGGCGAACCTGCGCGAGAATTTGTTTGAGTGTTAACATTTTGAAAGGCCGTCTCATGAGAGCCCTGTTCAAACGCCTCAGATCTAGTATGGGTCTGAGCCCGCCGTCT